GTGCCCGCGGCGGGGGTGGGGGGGGGGGCTGCCTGCGTCCCCTCCCCACCATCCCCGACCGACCGTATTCTGGCTCTGAGGAGTGCTTGGCTCCACCTTCCGCCCTTCCCTCCCCCGGTGCTAAGCAGCAAAGCCAGCTAGAGACATCTAGCCGGGGTATTAGTAAAAACCAAGCCTCCCTCTAGGAATGGCACTCGCCTGAGAGCCTCCCCACGCCGTGCGCCCCGACGCCGCCGGGGCTGGGAGGGAGAACAGGGGGGCTATTGGGATACAAATCACAGCCCTTGCAGGATCTGCCCGGCACACCGGCCAGCAACGTAAGTTTTCCTACCTGAGCTCGCTCGCACGCACGCACACATTCCCTCGCGCTTTTTTCCCCCTGATTTCTCTTACTTTTTTTGATTTCCCCAGCGAGGGTCCGTGTTGCCCTCTGAAACTGGAGGGATAGCAGCCCTTGCTCTGCGTTGGCTCTTTTTCAGCTAAGCCAGAGGCATGCTTTTCTATCACTTTTTTTTTTTCTTTTTTAATTTCTTTCTTCTTTTTCGTATTTCTGGATGGGGAGGATAGAGAGGCCTTTATTTTTAGAGTGTTTCTTTCTCCAAGGGGGGAACTGCTGCACGGCGGCAGGGACTTTTAGAGGTGACTGCAGACAGGAGAGAGGAGGAGTGTGTGGGGCAGGCAACCCAAAGCCTTGGCTTGTCTCCAAGTTAAATTTGGTTTGTGTTTCTATCTGTGTATATATATATAAAAATGTAAATATGTATATGCATACATATATGTAGACAGGCGTGTGTGTGGGGATGTAATATGGAAGTATTTTAAGTCTTCAGTTTATGAGCTGGGAGAGGAGGGTGAGGGATGGGGTGTCCCCGCAGAGGCACTTTCCCACAGCCGGCATCAGGGTCTCCGGGTGTGGATCCCAGGCCCGGGCTGGTTCCCTGCCGGGTGGTGCCGCCCGCTCAGCTTCCCCGGTAGCCAGGATTTATCCCTTCTGGTTTATCGATTCGGTGCCAGCGCTCCCCCTCCCACGCCTCCCCCCGGGGCACCGTGCTGGCATTTCACCGCACGTCTTCAAAAGAAAGGGGCACTTCCCCACACGAGTTGTGTGGCCGTCTCCGCCATCCCGCTCCCCGTGGGGAGCTGCGCCCGGGCAGGACAGTCCCTGTCTCTCTCCTTTCAGGTCGTCCCCAACCCCCCCTTATCCCTCTTGCCACAGGCCCCTTCGCACATGTAAGCTCCAGACGATTGCAGAGATAGGGAGCGATATCCCAATTAATCAGGGGCCCCGACCCATCCCCACCCCCATCGATCACGGGTTTTGCGGTGTGCATGGCAATTGCTTTGCTTGCGCATTTATCAAGCGGCCCCTGTCTCGTGGTCAGCTCTTCAGAGACCTTGGAGTCCCTTTCAGATTTGGTGGTTGCTTCTCCTTTTCCCTCTTTTTGCCCTCTTTCCTTTGTTTTTGTCTTCCTCCCTCCCCTCCCCAGTGAGAAGAAGGACACCAAGAAGGAAGAGAGAGGGCTCGAGAGCAACGATGGCTGACGACCAAGACCTTTCGGAGGTGGAGATGAGCCCGGTGGGCTCTGAAGACCACCACTGCCTCTCACCAGGACCCTCCATGGCGTCGGACAACTCCCCGCACCTTGCTGGCTCTGGGAACGGGGAGATGGGGAAGGTCAAGAAGGAACAGCAAGACTCAGAGGCGGACGACGACAAGTTCCCGGTGTGCATCCGCGAGGCAGTCAGCCAGGTGCTGAGCGGCTATGACTGGACCCTGGTACCCATGCCCGTCCGGGTCAATGGAAGTAACAAGAGCAAACCCCACGTCAAGCGGCCCATGAACGCCTTCATGGTCTGGGCACAAGCTGCCCGGAGGAAACTGGCTGACCAGTACCCGCACCTCCACAACGCCGAGCTCAGTAAGACCTTGGGGAAGCTCTGGAGGTAAGAGCGGGCGGGCGGAGGGGGAGCGTGAGGGCTGAGGTCCGGAGGTGTCCTGGAGAGGACTATGTGGTCACGTGGAAGGATGGAGACTTAGCGGGATGGAAGGGGTGTCCCTTGAAGGGACTTCCTTCCCTGCGGGGAGCCCCCTTGCAGGAGGCACGGTTAGTGACTGGGGCAAGAGTGGTGGTTGGATATAGTGAAGGCTTCCTCAGCAGAGCTCACCTCCATCCTGGGCAGCAGCCCTTTCCGCGTGTTTCCCACTAACTTCCCCTGTTGTTCCCGACCAGGACACTCTTGTCCTGGTCCTCTCCTGCCTGACTGCCAGGGGAGATCTTGTTTTCTTGGCTCACCCTCTCTGTTGGGCCAAGCTGTGCACTAGCAGGAACTGGGCTGAGCCCCATCCAACTTAACTCACTGGTGGCTGCCTCGAGCTTGTTTGAACTTGGGTCCCAATGCCAACAGAGGTTATTTTCCACGCAGTGCCACAGAGCAAGTGGGAGACCAAGTTACAGCCGAGGAGGAAGGTCAGGGGAAGGGAGACAGGCGGTCGGAGCCCTGCACCCGTCCTTCACAGAATGGTCCCAGTTTTGGCAGGCCATGCAGATGCAGCGAGATGGACAAGGAGAGACCCTGCTAGAAAAGGCAGCTGAGGCTTAGCAGAAAGGACGAGACCTGCAGGAGTCCCAGCCTTAGCAGGATCTCTTGCAACATAGTGGTTCAAAGCAGCCCCATCTCCCTTTGCACCCAGAGAGATGCCCTCCCTTCTTGCCGGCACACATGCGCTCGTCCTTCTGGCCCCACCAGTTTGTTGCGCCCATTTTCCTTTTGGCTTCAACCCGCTCCTCCTTCCTCTGGCAGACCGACGGGCTGCCCTGACTGATCGCAGCCAGCCTGCGGCTGGGCAGAGACCTGTCATGCCCAAGCCAACCACGTCAGGCTGGCCGTGTTACTTCTTTCCCATCTGACGGTCTCTGCCAATAACCCCATCAACCCGTTATAAACACTTTCTGCCACAAGTCCCCAGCACCGTCCCCCCCAGCCTTGCACCAGCCAACGCAAACCAAGGCTCATGCAAACGGGCCCTCTCATTCTCTCTCCTGCCCTGACAGTATTTCATGGAGGAAGCCCTCAACCTTGGATAGGCCAAAAGACATTTTTCCAAGCAGAAGCAAAACACACCCTGTCCAGCAGCTGATGCCCAGGTCTCCTCCTGGCTTCAAACCTCCTTGCTCGCAAGGAACCAAGCCCTTGGGCATTAGCTTCTCCCTCTGCTACGTCACCCCGTTTACCCCGACCCATTGGTGTCTAGTGTAACCCCAGCAAAGGGATTTCTTTGGGAAGTCGAAGGCAGGGCATGATTGCAGATGAATCATCTGATGCTCTTTCCCGCTTTGTTCCCTGCTGCCTTCCCGTCCCTTTACCACAGCACTTGCTCCTGCTTGGGGCTCTGCTGCCAGCCTCTGGACTGTGAAGCTGTGCTGGAAGGGATGGGGGGGGGGGGTTTTGTTCCCAAAGTGTTATTTCAAGCTATCATTCCTTTATTGCAAAATATTGCCAGATTTTAGAGCAATAGCCTCCCTCTGGACACTGCATTTCCCTTGAAAATATAGCAGAGCAGTGAAACCTTCTACAGGTATCGCATTCAGAGTGCAGGGAGACACATCCCCTGGCCCGTGGCCACGTTCACGCACTCGACTGCCTCCCTGTTCCCAGGGCACGGCTCCCACCGCTGGCTGCATGGGACTCGGAGCACGGGGACGCTGCCGCCGGACAATGGTCAAGGTGCCTGTTTCTTAGGGCACTGTGTGGCCAGGGAGCGTGGGTCAGGCAGAGAAGCTTGCGGGATCAGGCCTGGGGTTGTTGCATGCTGCTGGGTTTGCCACCCGACTGCTTTGCTTGAACACGTCTCCTCTCCGAGCGTTCCTAGTGCAGGCTGCGGCTCTCCGAGCTGTGTCAGCCCCTACGGGGATCATACAGCAGAGTAAGCTGGGTTATGGGTGCAGTCGGTGTCTGGCCTGGGTGGAACCACGTGCACATGTCTTTCTGTGAGGCTGGGGGGAAATATCAGCCCATAAAACTCCAGGAGAGGTGGCCCAAAGGTTGCCAGGATAGTATCCCTGAGCCTCGCCTTCCAGCCACGGTACGGTGGGGTCTTCCTCCATTCAGATTTCCATTGTCCTCATCTACGCTGTCTCCAAGGTACAGCTCCTACGCGTCGGTACAACTGGGTTTTGCTCTGGATGGCTTAGTCCCAAACATTTGACAAGGGTCCTTGCAAATGGCCCTGGCTGTTCACGTATCCCCACCCTTACAAGGTGGCCACCCAAACCCTACAGCCTACATCACTAGTCGCTTTGGAAAATATGGATGACATATTTCCACGTAGGCTGCTCTGAGCTTATACAGGTAAAGGGCACCTTAGGCAGAGAGAGACGAGTGCTGGTGAGCACAGAGGCTGCCTGCAGACCACCATTAAATCAAGCATGTCCCCAGCGATCGGCGCTGGGTGGGGACAGCAGGGGCTGGGAAATCTTCTTGAAAGGCAGCTAGCAGATTGAGCGATAACCCCAGTGCCGTCCCACGTGCTCCTCTGCAAAACGGGCTGCAATGGCCCGGGCTTTTTTTTTAAGCCCGGTATTTGCTCCAGCTTTGTGCCACAGCCGTGTTCTCCACGGGCCCCAGCCCTCGCTGGGAAAGGCTGCAGGACATGCCCCGATGGCCGCGCTACCCGCCTGGCCCCAAGTGCAGTGCCAGGGGGCTTATGGCCCCATCCACCTCCCCAAGTCTGTACCCGCTTATGGTGCGTGAGGGGTGCAGCTGACAAACCACATATACTAAAAAAGAAGAAGGGAGGGTTTCTGTGCTTGATGGTCATGAAATCTCGCCTTGGCTGCTTTCCTTCCCCAGGGTGGGACAGGGAGCAGCTCTCAAATGGAGGCCGGCCACTGAAAATGTCAGCATGACTCTCAGCCAAAATGCCAACCAGCACCACCTCCCGGGCCGAAAACAAGCGAGGCACGGGAAGAGGAGGAGGAAGGCTCGGTAGGGAGGAGTGAGGGGACCTGATGGAGGGATCTTTGCATGGGGGTGGCAGCACCCAGGGAATAGGGTCATGCCCACAAAATCCGGGGCCGTGGACGTGTAGGAGAGCCCGCCTGGCTGCTTTCTGCTCCCAGCCAGCCCTTGCCGTGCATCTGCCCCTACGCCCAACGCCATCACTGCGCTGACTCATCGGCAGCTGAGTCCCGGCACGGGTCAGGCCTCTGGCTGCCGAGGCAGTCGCCTGGCACGCAGCGCGGTGCAATGCCAGGCAGCAGAAGGGGAGGCTGCAAGAGGTGGGCAGAAAGATTTTAGCCCTTCTTTCTCCTCCTGGAGCGGGGCGCTGGATGCTTGCCCCTCTCCCTTCGGCTTGGGGGTGAGCATTTGGTGTCGGGGAGGGTTGCGAGGGCTCAGTTAAGCCCCATGAAGGGCTTTGCTCTGTGATCCATAACTTCTCTGCCCGTGCGAGATTCCTTTGCATTATGGCCTAAGGAGCGTGGGGGGCAGGAGTGGGAGGGCAGGAAGCGAGTGAAATCCAAATCCCCCCAAATCTCCTGGCCTTTGCCTGCTCGCACCAGTTTCACTTTGCTAAAGCCGATTTGAGCTCTGATCCCAGCGGGAGGGAGGAGGGAGCAGGCAGCCTTGGAAAGGAGAAGGCAAAGATGCGGGGAATGGACTTGCTGCTGTCTTGCTGGTGGCACTGCCCGTGGGCTGCTGTCAAGGGGAGAGGAGGTGACGCACTCGGGCATAGATCAGAGGGCAGGGATCTGACTCGTGCATAGCCTCAAGCGGCTCTGGTTCATGCCATCTACGAGACAGATCTGGGAGGCTGAGCTTCGGTCTCCATGGGAGGCTCCGCTCTGCGCTCGCCATGCAGTACGCCCTGCAGATCAAAGCTGGCTGTGCAGCCTACAGCCCTCTCGCTCCGAGAGGTGCCCACATAGAAAGAGACCTTTCATTCCCAACCACAGCATCTTATTAGCTTTAGCACCATCTGGGCTGGGAGTGCAGGGATGCCACAGCCTGGCTGCCTTGTAGTGAAGTGTCCTGGGTTGCAAGGCTGCAGGTTTTCCATGCAGATGGGGCGTTCTGCAAGGTTTTGCCAAGGCAAGGTCGTGTCCCAGTCCATGATGCCTTCAAGGGTTGGCCATGATGTCCCTTTGAACCCCTTGGAGGGCCGTCTGGAGCAGCACAGGCTGAGGGATTAGAGCCCTCCAGGACGTGTGAGCGTAGTGTACGGTGGCGGAAGGGAGACAGGAAAGCTGGTGTTGGATTCACGGTGGCTCAGTTGCTTTAATCTCCAGGATTAAGGCAGTGGAGGAATGTGGTGTGTGCCCGCGACTTGCTCAGGCTGCCTGGAGTGAACCCAGGTCAGCACCGTAATGGGCTCCAGCCCGTGCCATACACCTTCTAGCTGCCGGCCGAGGGGATGCACAAGGAGCAGGGGAAAAGGGGGTGCTTAGGAACCAACCCATTACTTGCTGGAGACTGCTTTGATCCCCTGCCAGTTTTATCTGTGTGCTCCTTGAGCCATGCCTCCTCTTTGTCTTCAGTTTTTCAGGCCAGTTCAGGCCTTTGTATCTTCCTCAGTGCCTACAGCTTAACAGAATTGGTCACATTTTAGTGCTAAGGCTTCAGGGGTACCAAGGTGCTGGCACGGCCCCATCCCCAAGTAGTTCTTTTGTTGGGGAGAAGGCGGCATCTCATAAATGGAATATTTTTTGCCGTTTGAGAGCCCTGCCATTTCTAACGGCTGTTGGAGTTGCAAGTTATGGGAACACTGGTCCCTTCTGAGAGCACTGGTTTCTGGTTGCAAGCAGCATGACTTTGAGTCACAAGAATATTTAAGGGGAAAAATCATAAAATGAAACTGAAGTGCTTCTAGCCGAGACGCTGCTAAAGGCTTGAGCAATGAGGTTGATCTCATCTTCAAGTGCTCTGAGCCATCCTGCCCGCACATTTCACCATTTCCTCAGAAAGCCTATCATCTTAACTACAGCAGCCCATGATCTGGCAGGAATACAGAGAAGGAGCTTACATTTTTGCAGTGCCTTTCATCCAGAGACCAAAGCTCATCTATTTCTACAAGGCTAGCAACGTAGCAGCTACATTTTTCACAACTGCTTGGCTAAGTTCAAGAAGGGCTGGTCCTTTGTGCTTCAGCCTTTTGCATTATCCATGTCTAAGGTGAGCAGGGGCTCCAGGAATAGCAGAATACACTATTTCCCCCCCTTTGAAATTTTTTTTAATTCCCTTCTAGGATATTGCAAGAGACTTAAAGGCCCAGCAAGCTCCACGCAGCAACATGGTACTGTGGAGCCAACACCAACTACTGACATTTGTGCTCAGTAGAGCTTCAAACTTGGAGCAGAGCCTATGGAAGGGTGGGAGGTTAAACTGGAATAAATAGAGTCTGGGGACGAGCAAGAGACATGCAGGAGGCAGCACTACAGGTAGCAAGGGTGCGCCCTTAGTCCAAACGATGATCCCAGCTACCCTTCATTTGCCCAAAGTCTTTGACAGCAGCTTGTCCAGCCTTATTTTACACGGCTATGAAAGGCTGCGCTTTGCCTTTGGGCAATGTAAGAGACGGTGCTGAACTTACTGAGGTGAGAAGCATCACGCAGCTGGGGAAGGGGGACCCAGTGCTGGCACCAACCAGTGTCAGGGCTCAATAATTAAGGAGGACGAGGAGAACATTTCTGTCTCCACTGAAACACCTCCAAGCTCTTCCTTCTTCTGGGAAATACCCTAAATGGGCCAACACACTGACATCTGGATTTACATGCTGTGTCCCACAACACTGTGTATAGGTGGTTTTTTTTTCTGACTTACCTGCCCCTCTCCTTCCCCTCTTCTCCTCTTTACCACCTTGGTCTCTGCAGGCTGTTGAACGAAAGCGACAAGCGGCCCTTTATTGAAGAGGCAGAGCGGCTGAGGATGCAGCACAAGAAAGACCATCCTGATTACAAGTACCAGCCCCGCCGGCGGAAAAATGGCAAGGCCACACAGGGTGAGGGTGAAGGCCAGGTGGAGGGGGAGGCTGGCGGGGGCTACAAAAACACCCACCTGGATCACAGGCATCCCGGCGAAGGGTCACCCATGTCCGACGGGCACCCAGAACACTCCTCAGGTGAGTCCCAGGTCTCAGTGAACCTACTGACATGTTACAGCCAACCTGGAGGCTCAAAAAAACCAAGTCATCACAGTGAAAGCCTTAGCAATGTGGCTCACATCTTGCTCGTGACCCAAAAAACTCTGCTGGAGCAGCAGCATAGTGACGTGGCTGAGTTTCACGGGCATTTGCATTCCTCTGGTCAGGCAGAGTGTCATTGCACCCTCTCTCTTTTTCCACAAGATGATCTAAAAAGGTTTGGTTTTGGCTGGCTATTTCTCTCTCCCTCCACTGAAGCCTCCAGCTGGACAGTTGCTGGCAAACTGGGAGGAGCGGAGCTGGCATGTGTATAAAGCCCACGCATAAAGCAGTAACTCACCTCTCCTCTCTCTTTCCTCCTCTAAATGTTTTTCATGTTGCAGGTCAGAGCCACGGCCCCCCCACACCTCCTACCACCCCTAAGACCGAGCTGCAGGCAGGCAAAGCCGATTCCAAACGAGAAGGGCGTTCCCTGGGGGAAGGGGGAAAGCCACACATTGACTTTGGCAATGTGGACATCGGGGAGATCAGCCATGAAGTGATGTCCAACATGGAGACCTTCGATGTCAATGAATTCGACCAATACCTGCCACCCAACGGACACGCCAGCCACCCAGGCCATGTTGGGGGCTACGCAGCAGCGGCGGCTGCTGGCTATGGCCTCGGGAGCTCCCTGGCTGCAGCCAGCGGACACTCTGCCTGGATCTCCAAGCAGCATGGAGTCTCCTTGCCCACTGCCACCTCATCGGTGGTAGATTCCAAGGCCCAGGTGAAAACGGAGGGGTCCGCCCCTGGAGGTCATTACACTGACCAGCCCTCCACCTCCCAGATAGCTTACACATCCCTGAGTCTGCCCCACTACGGTTCGGCCTTCCCCTCCATCTCCAGGCCCCAGTTTGACTACCCAGACCACCAGCCCTCGGGACCCTACTACAGCCATTCCAGCCAAGCCTCTGGCCTCTACTCTGCCTTCTCCTATATGGGACCTTCCCAACGTCCCCTTTACACTGCCATCTCTGACCCTGCACCCTCCGTGCCACAGTCCCATAGCCCCACACATTGGGAACAGCCTGTGTATACGACTCTCTCCAGACCGTAGGGAATGGGGAATGGTGACCGAAGCAGCGACGGAAAGGCTCCGAAGAATCAGCACAGGCAGAAGAGCCTCCGAACTCCGAGGTCACTCAGTGCCATCCAGCCACCAGAACCCACTGAGTATACAGAAGTGCCTTTCTCGACCCCGGCTATCGCTGGCTCACCCGCCTAGAGGAAGGTTTTTCGTCCTTTCACCCTTTACCAATTTCACGCATGCCACACGATTGGCTTGCGACACCTTATTGGCCTTCTAGATGAGGAGGATTCTAGACATGGAGTGACTGGTCCGTGGTGGGTTTTGTTGTGCACACCCTGGACTGTACGATGAGAGAGACTGTCCTTTCCTTCCCCTCCCCAAACTGCTCCAGGGAATGAGCAAGTGTTTCCAACAGGCCACAACGGCCAACACTTTGTCACCTGCTGCGGGTGAAGGGTGGTTGCTCAGCCTTGGTGAACATGTTATGGGAGGAGTAGTAGGGAGGACAGCATGGCCAGCTTCCTTGCGATCAGCGTCGTGCAGCAGTCCTGCCTAAGATTCACACGTGCATGAATCTTGAACCCCATTGGAAGACCAACCTACGCTTGCTTCCCTGCTGATTTCCACTGCTGCATCCTAGCTTTTCTCCCTGCTTCTTCTCTCCACCCTGTCTCTGTTTAATCCCACACTTTTTCCTGCATGGAGATTTTAAGGCTTGCCTGAACAACGTGTAGGACTCAGGAACCACATTGTTGGTCTTAGCGTTACTCATATCATAGCCTGTGTGCGCATGTGTGTTCATGTATGGAGGTGTAGGAGAGGTGGGGAAGGACCGGTGGATCATTAAGGCGCTGTGGGTGAATCCTCCTTTCTTACAATTACTCTATATCGTTCATTTATGTCTGGCATTTCTGGCATCTCAGTCCTTTCTAATCTCTTCAGTATCCCAAACAACCTCTGAGCAAACTTGGGTCCTTGCTCTTCCATGTCTGACTGTGCCTGCCTGAAACTTGCCAACACCCCAAGCAGATTCCAATACTCTCTTTGCATCTCCACTCCAAACTCAGGCTGATGGGGTGTGCATCCCCGCTCGTTTGTTCATCATGTCTTCCAGTCAGTCAACACCTCCCTCCTACCTATGCTGAAGATGCAAAGATACTCCTGCGGCTTTAAGCAAGGTAGATACACACCCAATCTTGGATGAGTGTAAAGAACATAAGCCTATTTATGTGCAAAAGAATTCGTTTCTCCCTTTGGGTTTCAAACTGCAAACAACCAGCTCTTGCAGTCAGATCAACCTCCTTTTTTCAACCCAACACCTGAGGACAGTCTGCTTACTTCTCCTTTGTCACCTCCAGGACTGGGGTGGTTTGTCATGCCAGGGAGTGAACTGGCACAAAAGTTGCTGCAGGAAAAAATGATTCCTGGCAATTGATTGCAGAGGCATGTTGTCAGACCTTCCAATGGATATTCCAGTCTAGAAGGATAAAATGCTTTGACCAAACGTGGACTGTGATCGGTGCCGCTGTTTCCCCTCTGCTGATATGACTGTCAGATGCCGTTCCTGCCTCCCTTAGCTATGAATGACTTCTCCTTGGGGTGTCTGAAAAGATCATGTAGAATATTTGCTCCCTGTACACATGTAACCTCTTCCAGCCCTGTCCCCTTATTTATGCAAGTAGCACCTTCCTCGCCCACCTCCCTTTCCCCAGTCTCTATGCTGTCCTAGCACCATTAACTCTGCATTAAACATATGGAATAATAAACTTAAAAGTTTCATTTTCATGTGTCTTGTTTTTTTGACTTCTTTCCTGAAAGTCTCTGTTTTTTCCCCCAGTAAGTGTATGATGGGTCACACCACCACCACACGGATCCTGTGCACAGCCTTCCTCTGCCTGTCATGAAGAGGACACAGGCAGAACTCTGACTGGCTTACCAGACTCCTTCACGGAGACGAGACTCATCTCCTGTTCACACCCCAGCTCCAGTCCTTTCTTCAGTGAGAAACGTAGTAACACTGATTTCTGGTCTTCAGCTACGATTCAGCACACGCAATTAAGAAAAGCACTGTTCTGCATGTGCTTCACCCAAGAATTTCTTAGTGTGATTGTTAATGCTCTTCAGAATAGGAGTGTGGGGTTTCTCGTCGTGGTTCCTCATCACCAAGTGGCAGATGACGTACCTTCAAAAAAAAACTTCCTCCCCTCCCCAAACTTGTGTATTTTGGAAGCAACCACTCGTTTCTTCGTAGAAACTCACCCACCCGGCCTCTTGCCTTCCTCAAGCAAGAACCTAAATTGAAACACACACACTCACACACAGAGAGCATATTCAAGAATAGATGAAGAATAGATGATTTTACTTGTTGAGGAAGACATCCTGGGTGTATTCAGGTCCTGGGAGGCTATCTGAAGACGTTTGGAAGGAAAATGTACAGCAGATATCAGCCTGCTTAAGAACACCTCTCAAGACCAATGGTAGCAAGGTAGGATCCCAATTAACACAGAGACTCCACAACAATTACAAATTGATTCCAAAGGTTTCAATGCAGATGCATGTGATCGATCCAGTGAGTTTGTGTTCACTAAACGCTTTATGGTGAGTAGAGTAAGCAGGACGTCTAGGAACTGTGGAACACGTTCAAAGCTTTTTAAAACTCACAGCACTATTTGGATGAAGTCCTGTATAGGGCCAAGAGCATCAGCAGCAGAATGGCTTAATGGATCTAACAATGGTGATGCCAGCTAAAGAGCTCCATACAAAATAGGACTGTGGCCATTCACTGGAGAGGAGGAGAAATCTCTACCCCAAATTACAGGCTGTGGGAAGAGTCCAGAAGCGAACTACTGAGCAGGTCAGGAGCACAAAGGAAGATGGGAAGCCATGGTGGAGTTAGGGGTAGGAGACCTGATCACAGGGGTGGGAGAGAGAAGGGACATGGTGTGGACGAACAGAAGAGTGGGAAAAGAAAGTTCTGAACCGCACACAAGTACCTTCTCCAGCTCTTCAAAAAGCAAATTAAGAAAGCGAGTGGGCTCTGCCTCAACCATTCTCTAGTGGAACGGGATGCCTCTTCTCATCTAGGAGGGTCCTCACAACTAAGACAGGACTGAGAATACCGGGGGTAACAGAGGGGTTAACCACTCCTCTTGTAGTCTAGCAGGAGCTGGCCCGGCATCCTTCGCTATCCCTTTAATTGTATCTGATACAGATGCAAGGCTGGGGAGGGGAGGCGGGTAGGGAACAAAGAAGCCATTTAAAAAAAAAAAAAAAAAGGACAAGAAAACGACCCCCGCGCTCCATGGCGGACGCCAAAACGATTGCACAAAGGCACCATTTCAGGGCTGAAATTTCACCGCACCAACATGATTAAAGGATTCCATGGAGGGTGGGGGGAGAAGGCTGAAGGCCACAGTGCTGCAAATTAACCTTTTCTTGGTAGGGATGGCCTGGACCAGGAAGCATTTGTGTTCCTCACAGTCGACCCCCCTTCCGACACCTGCAACCATCTCCACATTCCCTTTGACCTGTCATTTTGCCCAGGGACTCATTCAGCTCTTGCATTCTTGCCTCCAAAACCAGCTTCTCCTGTGCATACCAACAGAGGAAGGATGGACTGGTGCTTTTACAGTGAGCAGTAAGAGAATGACATACATGGCTAGTTATATGAGCTGAGTTCCCAGGCAGGTGGATATAAACTCCCTTTGGGACTTGGATGCTCATCTGCAGCCACCGACCACACATACAGCACGGAGAATGCATGTTTTATATATAAGCACAGGCTTTAACACCAACTAGTTGGAAAGATTCTTCCTGGACCAGCGCAAAGAGAAAAATCAATGTAAAACAGAAACCATAGGTGCACCTTCCCTATTCTCCTCTTTAAAAAATGAAAACAAAAATTCCATGGGCACTTTTTAATATGATAATTGAAAAAGACTCAATGTTTTCTGCCCAAGAGCTCAATCTTCCTCACGCAGAGCAAGAACCCTGGCGTACACAAAAGATCAAGAAATGGAAACCAGGTAGTGGCTGGCTGGAGGCCCTTGCAGATTGTAATGCATCCACCCAACTCTTCTTGATTTGAGCACGTAACCTCCCTGCACGTCAGAGGCAGGAGTGCAGGTGCCTTAAGGGGACAAATGACTAATCTTTCATCACACTACAGATTAAAGGAACTCTAGGATTTAACTACTGTTGTGCCACTGTAAGAACCACCAGAGTATGTACAACTGAGATGGCTGAAGAGCACCCACACACTTAGGACCCTTAGTTCTAACCGCATGTCAGAAAAAGGCTGAAAGAGGAGCAAACGCAGCAACAACCTACAACTGCCGAGCTGGTGGGACCGCGAGTAGTGACCACGCTTCCGGCTGGGGCAGTGCCACTGAAAGGGGATCCCCACCTCTGATAAGCAGCAGGAGCAGGGAAACAATAGGTGATTTGATGAGAGCTGCTCTACGATACTCCTGAGAAGCCCCACAGCCAGCCCAGGCCAGAGAGGAAATTGGGGGTTTCCACAGCAACCTGCTCAGGGCACAAAGGCCCAACTGTCTAGGGGAAGCAATGGAGGTGTCTCAGCACTCCTGTTTTAAGAAGGGACTGGGTGGAGGGCTGGAGTCTTTCTGAAGCCAAAGTACCTGCAAGAGCACTTTTATACAGCAGGAGTTTAATTGGCTCTTGGTCCTATAACCAGGGAGGAGCGGTGCTGGAGGAGGAGGAGGAAGTAGCTACTGCAGTCTTTAGCCTAGCTAGAAGGTATGGCCTTTGCAGGTGAAAAAAGCTGCAAGAAAAGCATGGCACTTGGCTCCCTAATCTTATTAATATAGCCCATGACACAGAAAAAATAATGACCAAGCTGGTGGAGAGAAGTAAGAAAGTCGTCTCTTGGGCATGTAGGACTGAGATGAAAGAGAAGCTGGGAGAAAAAAAAAAGAAACAAACACACGTTTAACTTAAAATGGGGAGATTCATAATTTATTTACACAAATATAAACAAAAATAGAAACATCTCTGGAGAAGGAAAGAACCAAAACAATGGCTGGAGGCTGATCAGTCTGTGATAATTAACTCATCCACGCCCCAGTCTTCATAGCTCCCGTCTGGAAGGTAACGACGGATGATTATGGGGATCTTGCGTGCTCTGAAGGGAAGACAGAGAAGTGAAAAGAAATACCAGAGCCTTCACTATACCACTTCAGCAGGCAACGGGAACTGAGGTGCACTGCCTTAGTGGCTTCAGTAAGCTCATCAGGTTTAACTGAGAGATCTGTGTAGCACCAGTGATTTAGTATTATACAGTAGAGGGAAGTCCCAACAACTTCCTCTCTTTTTGTAGGTGCAAAGCACTGAGCACCCTTAGACTCAAAACAACCAAAAACCTACAGAAGGTCAGTCCTCTGTTGCTACTGCAAGAATTGAGCCCTGTGATCTGAACCCACTATGAGACAACACCAAGCATCTAACTAAGATATAGGGGAAAAAAAAAAAGATCAGGGACTTGAAGAACAAATCCACTTTTTGTTTGATGGAAGATTTTTCCTCACAAGACACTACGAAAGTGGCAGAATTCTGAGAACATTCACAAAAAACTGATATTCACAGAGTATTTCGCACCCTGAGATCATCAGTTACATTTCAAGAAGGATACATGAAATAGGGACTAATCAGGACCAAAATCTGGTACAGCTGGGGTGGAACACAGCATCTGCTAACAGTAGCTCCAATTAGAAAGCAAGAAAATGCTGAACACAAATTAACTTAATGGAAGTAGATTTAAGTCGGCAGAATGTAATCAGACAGTCTGGAATCTAACCAGGGCATCAGGTTTCAACCGTATCAGACTTGAGAAGTAATACAACTTCTTTAATGATCACATTCAGGGCCGTTGTTTTTCCAGTAGCAAAGTAGCTCCCTCATGCCAAGAATTACAACTGAATTTTGGCACAGAACAGGATCCCACTATACTTTGTCACACCCTGACTTACTTTCTAGAGCTCACGCTCAGACAGTGACCAGAAGCAACTCAGACTGAGCTTGGAGATCTGACAGGAACATGACCTAAGGAGCTTTTGGCAATGATAACGGGAGCTGTAAAATCTGCAAAAGCAACTGCAATGCACTGAGAAACTGGGGGAGCAGACAGACAATTCGGTTCAAGAATAGGGACTTAAATCGGTAATGGTGTCCAGCTGCTCTGCTTGAAGGATACCTGCGTGTGTCATCTCAGTCACTGACCATGCAGGCAAACTGTGGGCCGGCAGGGAGCTCTGCTGTGGAAAGGTGGGCCTGTACGTGGTCATCCAGAAGCTGCTTCTGCTACAGTCAGAAAGGATTTATTTATCTTCCTGTAAGCAGGAGACGTGCCTCCCCGCAAGCACAATAAGCCAAGTGTGGAAGGGTGCAGGAAAAGAGCGTTCTTAATGGGGTCTCCACACCACCAGCCTGACCCTTATTTTATTGTTTGCCAGCACTTCATTTGAACACAGGTGTGCTCAGACAGTTGCTTTGAATCAATTCCATTCAGGGAATTAAACTGATTGCAGAAAGATGAGGATCTTGGGTTCTCATCATAGAAATAAAGAACACTTGGACTCCAAAGTAAAAGAGGTCAGAGCACTCCTCATCATCAATACTTTGCACAAGCAACTAGGATGGGAGAGAGCAGCTGCAGAGAAGTCCTAAGGTGAAAAAGGGGAAGGCAACTGTAGTGCTCACTGTTATCGAGGGAAGACAAGGTTGTCTTGGAATAGGCTGCTAAATGCTGGGATGAGGAGAGGACTGCTTGCTTTATGGAAATCAATACGCTCACCGTCAAAGCCTGGGACGTACTTGAGTTCTTTCATGGCAATCAGCAAGGGGTCCGTCTCTCCTTCCAACTCCACCATCACAGGGGCACACATCCTGGGACAGAACAACAATCATTTGAGAGAATGTACAGAGAAGGAAAAGGGACAGCTAAGCACACGCCTAGCTATGTCATTGGGACAATGGCCAGTAAAGTGTTCTTCTTGCCCCATCCCTCAGCCTCTGCTGACCAGCTGAGGCTTGAGAGCCTGTCAGATCCACACCCTTCTAGCCACCCTCTGCTGTACTTAAATGTAAGGAAAAGAGTGGTTCTAAGAGGAATCCAATAAAGAGGGTGGACACACTGTAAAATGAGCCTCCTACAACTCCAGCACATCTCTTATGTTCTGATTTGCTCACACCTTCCAGGCTTTGTTTGGGGGAAAGCGAGGGGCTGGATTTATGACGCACTCTACCTCTAGCAATTAAGAATTAAGCATTTTGCAGAGGGTTGTAACAGCAGAGTAAACATGGGTGACGATATCCACCCATTAGACAGCAGCAGCAAAGAAAGCTCACGTTATGCATGGATAAGGCCACTGGGGGCTGCTGCTGGCCTAGGTTCAGCACTGAAGGCAGAATACGTAGGTAAAGCAGAACCAGGCGCCAGAGTGTTTTGGATTAAAGGCCTGGCACGAGCCCATCTCGTCTCCCTCATTTTTCTGGCCTTCCACCAGTTGAAAGAATGTGCACGAAACAGCTTCACAGAGTGGAGACTGTGCAAAGAATAGCTTGGCAAAGTGATGATAAAGGAAAGATCTGATGACCACCTACGAGCTTCTAAACAATGTAGAGAAGAGGCATTATTTTGAGGGTGGATATAACCAGCATGAAACTCAGAGATGTCTTTCAGACAAACTTTGCCACAGCCTAATAATCTCGCTCATAAGGCAGTTTTTCAAGAAGTGCAAAACTTTTTGATATGTATTACTAAAACAAGTCTAGACAGGTAAATGGATTAAGTTGAGAGCAGCGAACCTTAAGAGCACTCAAAACAGGACTCAAATGTTATTACCTATCATAAATAAGGCCACACTATTCCAAATACTTTAAAAAACTTAGAGCTTGCCACAGTGCAACTGCATTTAAAACAGATTTCAGGTTGGTTACTCCATTCCCAATTCCTACAGCCCTGTAGTATCAACTGAAGACACTCTGGAGCATCCCTCGCTCCAACGTTGGCTTTTGTAAACCAGTTCTGAGCTTTCCAGCCCATGTTGGCTCCTTTATGAAAGGCAGAAACCAGGATCAGCTTGTCACAATACCCACTCATTTTGCCTGTGGCCTAGGTTCATTGCAGCTGCTGAATGCCCCCCTTTCTAGGCACAAGTACCACAGTCTCAGCCAAGGAGAGATACAGAGACTTCACATGCAACTAAGAGCTCCACGGTCCTGTGCTTCAGCGTTGACCAAGATGGTGATACGCAAGCTCAGCAGTCATGTAAGGGATTACATGAGATCCAGGAGTTTTTAAGGAAGGAGAAAAGCAGCTTTAACAGGGAAGGGAGGAGAAGCTGTGGCGATGCCCGGGATACTCACGCTATCTGGAGGGCACGAGTGCCCAGGACTCTGGCTCGCTCGTATTTGGTCATGTAGGGGGTAGTGATCCGCTTCTGATTCGCCTGCTGCCGCTCTCCTGAGGGGAGGATTTCCACGTTCTCCTGTC